TGTGCATTTGTTTCATGATCTCATTAACGATAGCCGAATGGCGGCTGCTTTAAGGCCGAAAATGCATTGAAATCGCATATTTTCACCATTCCGGACCTGGATCTCAGTTATGCATGGACGGATTTTGTTCAAATTTGGTACATACATTAAACATAATAGGACCTTGATGCACGTCATTTTTTTTTTCTGATCAAGTTCGAAATGGCCGACTGGCAGCCATTTTGTTTTAAAGAATTCAGTTCTGGATCCGTATCCGAGACATGTCTGGATTGATCATTTGATAATGTGCATTTGTTTCATGATCCGCTTAACAATAGCTGAATAATGCCCATTTTACGTCCGAAAATGCATCAAAATCACGTATTTTCACAATTCCGGAAATTTTGTTCAGATTTAGTACAATGTGTTGTACATATGCAGGTGCATTTCGGATCAGACCACTGAAAGTGGTCTGAGATTTCGGTCATGATTTGCTTTGAATGTATATGTCACTCAAATATGAACGGACAGGGACGTGTCATTTACAATGACTTGTTTAATCTTAACAAATATTTGTTTTCCAAATAACTGTCTTCAAATACCGGAAAAACATTCCATTGTACCCCCACCCCAAATCCTTACTCCAACCCCCTCCTACCCTCCATTGCCCCCAATTTAATTGTATATGCCCCTCTTGAGGAAACCTATTGTCATCTAGTGGGGCATATACAATTGAATGGGGGGGGGGGGGGTTGAGTTATGATAAGGAGTGCATGGGGGTACATTGGAAAGCCTTACCAAAATATCAATTGAAATTATTGTAATATATTTATTCACAAATTAATTAATAAACCTCCATATAAAATACAACTTTCTGTAAAGGACAATTTTTTTTAAGTAATTTTGGTGGCTGCTGTACACAGGAGTGACTACATTTTGGGTTTGTGCTTCAATTGTTGGATCTCTAGAAGTAAGTATGTACATTTATACGTAACTTTATCAAACCATTCAATCTAACAGTTTTAGAAACTATTAATTGTTCATCAGGATAAAGTGTACGGCACTCCCAAATCAATAACTGGTTCACTTCAGCATCTGACGTCAATGTTGAATTCTCAATCCAGTACACCACAACATGAAAAATTCAGATTTTCAGATAAAAATGATGCTTCCTCAAGCCAACAAAACATTACTAATGGGAATACACCACTCAAGGTGAGTCTGAATATGTGTTTGAAAATCTAAAATCTAAAAAATGTGGATGTTGTCTGTCTTCACTTTGTGCCATCACTTTCTAGTTGGGTGATAATATGTATGCAGTAGGTAATGACAGTGAATGTCAGACTGTGATATTTTGATTTTTTTTTGCATGAGAGAGAATACATCTGCATGTATACTCAATATTGTGAAACCAAATCTCAAATTTGGTAAATTATCTATGATTGCAGGGGTTTATGAGATGAATAAATGAGTAAAAATGATATTGACATATTGAGATCATGAATAGCCATAAGGTTGATGCATATTCATGAGATTAATGAATATTCATGAGGTCAATATGTTCATGAGATTAATGAATATTCATAAGGTCAATATGTTTATGAGATTAATGAATATTCATGAGATCTAATGCATATGCATGTTATCGTTGGGACTAATGAATATTCATGAGTTAATACATATCTAGGGTGTTGAATATTCATCATAAATATATGAGGTTAATGAATATGCATGAAATAATGCAAATTCATGATAGCATTTCTCTGTATTGATTAAATTTTGTGTAAATTATAAATGCTCTTGTTTTCAGCCGACATTGAAGAAAAAAGTACATCGACAGAATTCCACATTAACCTCATTCCAACCAAGTTTAGCAGTATTGAAGAGGCAGTCAAATCGTAAATTAGCATCACCGCCAACCTTAGATTCCATCGTTAGTAACTATCTCATGGAACAACATGCCAGATGTAAAAATCCTGTTGTTACATGTCCTCCATTTTCATTGCTAGAGTGAGTATTGCTTTAGTGTATGTTTAATGAAGAAACAAGAATAATGCTCTAGGAAAAACTTAAATGTCACCGGGCAAATTTGTTATTTCATATTCATTTGTTTATTTGTTATTAGTAGTGTATTAAATGTAAATACAATTTTTTTGAAAAACATTGTTACACAAATGTACTTTGTATTATTTACCTAATTTGCATAACAAGATCATGTAAATGAATATAGAGTGTAACTTTTTGAATTGCAGACCACACAGATGTCCTAATCCAAGGTTCAGACGTTGTGCTCCTACCAGTATCACAGCAAGAATGATGAACAGACCGGTAAGTTTAAAAAAAAGTGGCAAAAACAAAAATGTTTGTCATGCATTGATTTTTAGTTATTATAAAATACCCAGAAAATGTAATGTCACAATTAGGCCATCTAAAATAAATTATGTGTTTCTGGTAACCCTCCCTATCCATATTTTGTGGGAATTTTTTTTTATGCAAATCAGCTTGAATTTGTTTATTCCTATGCAAATTAGCCGTGGGCATTCCATCAATGTTGTAATTTCAGATTTCGCTTTAATACTTCTTTCTATGAAGTAAACACTTTTCACTTAGTTAAAATGTAACACACATAGCTGGAATATCATTATTTTTAATAGTCTATGAGCGACTTTAATCCAGATTATATTGCTCGTATTAAATGTATGTATCGTGTAATTGTTGATTCAATATATATTCCTCCAGATATATCCTACACATGGTGGTGTTGATGGCGCTAAACAGAATAGAAATTTCATTTACAGCAGGTACGTTATGTTTATGATAGAATAATCCAGTATGGCCGATTGGCAGCCATTTTATTGAATTGTATATTGCTCTTGCTGTGTCATGATTATCAAATAATGTGGACAAAACTTAGTGTTTATGTACTGTAAAACTCTAGCTGCAATTAATTTTCACTGAAAATACTTTTTGGCTGTTTTGTATTAAGTGTATTTTCACTGATTTTTGATGAGTTATATGAAATATAGGAAAAAAGATATTTTCACTGGATTTTATTTTCACTGATTCATTCCTTCAGGGAAACTAGTAAAAATAAATTGAAAGTGAAAATATTTCACCGTAGCTAAATATTAACTCACAACAAATATATATGTTTTACTATCCGAGACAAGTTTGCAATATGAAAATTTTGGACTAGTGCTAGTGTTTGTGAAGGCACAAAAGTCTTTGAGTTTATCATGTCTGTGTGTCTGTTCCTCTGAGATTATGAGAGCCGCTCAACGAAGTTCAAGAAAACTTGATACATAGGTGCTGAACTGATTAGTTTTTAGTGGAATCTGTGCATATTAAATGTCTAATTTACATCATAGTTAACTACTATTCATCGTCTTGGTTTTTTGTTGAATTTCGAAACTCTTTTAATTTCTTCACTAATCAACATGTATCAAGAATCATTATTTATAGTGAATGCATTCAATTCTAGATTCCGGCCAGTGCAAACAATACACGATACAGAAGATGATGGCTACTTCACTTGTTGTGCATTTACCAGGCATTTTGATGTAAGTAACTTATCCTGTCAGTGGTAAACACACAAAATTTGTCATGTCGGTTTCTGCCCTGAGGCATACAATATATTAGTCTTTGTTTTCCTCTGACGTTAGGTTGTTTATAAATCTTTTTTAATTGCTTCATTTTCTCAAGAGAATCAACAAAGATTTTCTAAGTGTCCTGTCAACTACCCAGAAATTCAATGGTTTACAATGTCCCAATCAGTGTAGTCATATGCATTGCTACAAAGAAGTACATGTCATATTGAAATTAAATATGTGAGATACTATTTATTGCATTGTATATAAAGCGCATGATTCAATTTTTGTGTTCACAGCCCACCAGCATGTATCTATGCGTTGGTACGTACGCAGGTGAACTGAAACTCTACAATATGAACACTGGATTGGTAAGATCATATTTCTATACTCTGCTAGTATAACTGTTATTCTCCAATCAGTTATCAAATTATTTTCTTTGTTTCAATTTTGTACCAATTGAGAACTCTCTATAATTTCCCATTGGTTTTGGAAAAAATGGAAAAAAAAAATTATTTTTGGTTTATTTTCTTAAAGGTGAAAAAAGTTGACTGTGATCAAAGGTTCATTTCACATTTATGAGGATTTTTTCAATCTAGGAACTTGTGTTTTATTCTGATTTCAAAATAAAATATGCTTAATAATGTTTTTTTCTCCTTCGTTTGTACTTTAGGAAGAAGGCAGTTATGTATGTCACACATCATCAGTTACGTCTTGCCAACCATCAAGGGTAAGTGGCAGCATATTACACCATAATCTTTAGTACAAGTGTTGCTACACAAATCTAACTTGTCCTGATTTCAGCCAATGCTATCGAAGTGTAGCAGTGTGATTGTAGTAATTGCCATTTGGCATGCTGCATGCTGGGAGAAATGGTTCAGAGCGAGCAATGGAAATTGAATTGTGTTCAGATGTGTTCATGTTATGGCAGTGTGTTGCATGTGGTTTATTTAATGTTAATTTAAAGTGCCCTGCCCTTCTTTTGTCTAATAGGATAGTAAGTTGATGTTGACGTCATCACTGTGGGGAAGACCGATGTCGGCGTTGTGGAATATGGACGAAGTGTTTGAAAGAAAGTAAGTTCTGATGTCTGCAGCCATCAGCCGAGACTTTTGAAGTGTTATATAGACTTCCCTTTAAGGTTAATGTTGAGACAGTTGTGTATATACACAACTACTTAAATACATACATGTATGTGTCGATTTTTTAAATAGACTTGCATCAGTGTTACATTGCCACCAATATATATAAATCTCTCTTGTCTGTTTTTCAAAACAACAGGTTTGCCTTTGAAGACGATCATTACATGCAGTTTGGGAAACTCTCAGATGATAAAATAATTGGCACAAAAGATGACATAGCCCATGTAAGTATCCCTGTATACTTTGTTAATGCATCCTCCTTAGTACAGAAAACATAATTTATTGTCTCTTACTAGCTGTTTATGATTACAGTCTTATGCTGCACACTGTAAACATGCCACACCTCTGATTCACTAATGATTCCAATGTCTGCTTCTAAAGTTATACTCTTTAAGATCATTCCTAAAGATTCATCAAAATTTATATGTCACATATTTTACTTAGTATTGCAAGAAATATGTTCTATATGTATAACATCATATGTACACGCACACCCAAAATGTGAACAACCTAGAAACGTTCATTTTTCATTGATTGGTGATTTTTACTTCTTTCTGTTCTATTAATGCCATTATACATTTCATCAAAGACACTAGAAAATACTTTCTAGAGTCTTTGATTTCATATAATTGTTCCAAGACTCCAATAGAAATACAGAAAGGCAAACCTAAAGGACTTTTTTGTACCGCACATAGTGTTGAGCTGTATGAACGCCTGTCTTCTAGAATAATTAATTTAAATAATCAACTTAAACAAGTTTGTTGCATGGAAATTTTTTTCACAGAAATTGTTCTCGTACTTGTAC